CGAGCTTCCACGCTCCACCACGAGAGGGCTCTCACGCCCGCAAATAGTTCTACATTCTTCACCGTTGGCAGTACCCAGCTGCTGGCACATTTATTTCCCACCACGGGACCCCGCGCCGAGGCACACACGCACAAAGCTACTCAACAGAAATAACGAAGAAGCGGAACAAAAAAATAGAAATCGCTTTCCGTAGATCGATGCGCCTGGAAACAGGGCGTTTGCCGGTAGTTTCGGATTTCGGAACAACCACCTGCAGAAGAAAAGTGCATCTAAATGCCGGACTGAACTTCGGACAAATTGTGTTGGATGGACCATATGTATTTTTTTTTTCTCCCATCATTGGACTTTGCCGTCTGCCCCTCTGGCCCCTATCCTCCACTTCTACCAGCAAGACGACCCAACCGGGGTCACATAGGAGGGGGGGGGTTGGACCCCCTCCTGCGGTTATGTAATGGGCGGGTTGCCTCTACAGGGCGGGTGAAATAGCTTGGAACGATGGTGGTTGAATATTCGGTGTTTTTGTTTTGTTTGAGTAGTAGGGCGGGTGGCCGCCATGGTGATGGGTGAAGCGGCCTGGCACATGCCCGCTCTATAGAGGGCCCACAACGAACGCCGTGACGGCTTTGTGGTCGGTCCGTTTGGTTGTTCCCTCACGCCAAGAGCGAGCGCTACTTCGAAGATCTGGAGGGGGCTTTCTGCCTCTCTGTGCCTGGCCACGGTGTGTTTTATGTTGGATGTTCGTTACTGCATCAGGTGGCATAATGTATGGCAGGTTATCCTGCGCAAGGCCGGCGAAATCGCGTGACACAGATGCAAGGAATAGTGAAGGGTGCCCGGTACCAGACCGGCCAAATCCCTTGGCACTGCTGTCCGCCCTTCTTCAAGGGCCGCCACGGCAGTCTACGGGGAGCTTTAGGATATTGAGATTATTTTAAAGAGACCGCCCCTAAACATGCTTGCTTGTCTTAATAGAGCGATGGCCTTCTTCAAGGGCCGCCACGGCAGTCTACGGGGAGCTTTAGGATATTGAGATTATTTTAAAGAGACCGCCCCTAAACATGCTTGCTTGTCTTAATAGAGCGATGGCCTTCTTCAAGGGCCGCCACGGCAGTCTACGGGGAGCTTTAGGATATTGAGATTATTTTAAAGAGACCGCCCCTAAACATGCTTGCTTGTCTTAATAGAGCGATGGCATGATGGTGGCGGGGTTTGATGCCTGTAGAGGCGCGCGGGGGGTTGGGGGTTTGACCACACACCAACGTCAGCGATGGAAAGGTCTTTTGTGTATACAAAGGCCGGTTGAGCAGATAGATGTCCAGGAGGCTCCCCAAAAGAGCGGGTTGGTACTGTAGTCCCGTGCACGAAGACGTTGATTTTTTTGAGGTATCTTCTTGGACGGAGCGACGTGCCCGGCACCCCTTGCTGTGAATATTGGAATCGCCCGATTGCTTGTCTTCCAAGTTTATATGCTGGCACCCCCCAGTTTCTGATGCTCAACAGCAGAGCATTCATTTTTGTGTCGGCCTGCGCTGCGCCACAGCACTACTGTCTGTAGTGTGCCTGATACAAACGCCGCTCAACGCGGGAAACGGTGCAAAGTGCGTATCACGCAGGTGCCCTCGCGGAAATAAACAAGTATGGTTTCCTCAATGGCGCCTAGTGTAGGCGGCACGAACAGCGATGCCACTGCCTCTCGGTAAATGTGTTGTGGAACGAACGGCGGGCTGCCATAGATAGCAGCGGTATGACCAACGGGCACACCTGCACCGGAGAAGACATCGCATCGTCACCAGTTGTTGTGCCACAGCCTGCAAAAAACACACGCAACTCAACGACCGGTAGCTTTGGTGATGATAGCTGTGGTGTCGGTCGCCCTAGTGCCGAAACACGCCGCCCCTATCTCTTGAAACGTGTTGGATTAGTTACCTTTCCTAGTAATACGGTGGCCGATCATGCACCCGCCCGGTACTGCTGTTATACTATTGTACGTCGTGAGCGACCGCCGCCAAAATCGACCGTGTGCGCGCAGCAAATCGGATTTCCGCCGCTGTGCAACAAGAGCGAGATACTTGAAGCCCAACCACGACAACAGAGGGAGCGGCGGCTTTGTTGAGCACGGAACAACGCACGCACAGCAACAGCGTCGGGATCTAAGCAAGCAGGTGCCACCTAGAGACTACCGCCCGACCCACTTGATGGCATGCGCAGCACGTTTCCCCCTGTTTTTCTCGTCCATCCACCCGTCTATCGCAGTACTGTGGAGCAGCACACACCCCTTCGTCACAACAACGGCCCAGCGGAAAAAACAACAACGACCTTTCAACACAAAAAAAAAAAATTAACGACAGAACCCAAAACGAACTGGTTTTGGACGCACAGACAAAGAAGCCCAATCTCGAAAGAAGATTCGATCGCACACAAAAAAAGGGGGGGGGGGGGGGGGACTGTGAAAAGAGGCAATCTTAATCTTCCTCGGCAGACGTTTTGAGGGATGAGACCCGTGTTAAGGGCCACCTCTTCCACACAATCAATCATTGACGGTTGCGCAACTTCCTGTGGTGTGACGACCCCCGCGGGTGGTGCGTCCAGGAACTGGTCGGAAAAAGTGTCAAACACCGACGCCCAGCACGAACGGGATGACAAAAAAAAAAAAAATACAAAAAAATGCATGCTTTTCACCGAGCAAGGATCTTGACTTGCACCGGAGGGGACCCAACAGACAGGACAATAGCAAAGGGAACAGCGCGGACTAACGCCGACATCGGGAACACACGCACCCGTTTATCGCGGTGGCGATGCGGGCTTCGAAACGGCAAACGTTACTACAATACGAGGGAAGAGCGGGGGTCTGATGGCCCTCCTGCCACTCTCAGTAACACTTTCTTCCGTCTTGCCCCATCGAGGATAATTTTTTCATGCCCAACAGTTTGCTATTACTCCCACAGCCCCATCACATCCCTCAACTAGACTAAAACGTACACCGTATCTAGCATCCTGTTGTCCGCTCACAATAATAATTTTCACGCTTCACGCACGTATTATTCCCTGACATTATCGTTGTCCATCTCAGCATCTCAGCAGAGCACCACAGCAGCACACGCTCCAGACAACACCCTCATTACCATCACTGCTGACTTTACCGCATCCTCACGAATTCGTCGACCGCCAAACAAAACCTAGGCCTTATAAAAAATGTTGATTTTACAGCACGCATCTCAATCTCACTCGAAATATCGATGGCCAGACAGATCCACCCGTCCCCTCTAGCACAAAGCCAAAACAGCAAGATTCCCACAACAGCGCCGCCACGACTTCTAGTACTCCCTCGAGTTGTGGAGATAGAGCACAAGCCACGAAGAAAGGCACGATATCAATCAAGCTGCTAAAAAAAAAGCAGAAGTAAAAAAAAAAAGAAGCAAACTTGTCAAGCAGACTGCCAATCAAAGCAACTAATGCTGGGTGGAAGACCACAAGCGATAGACATCACGGGGACCCCAGTGGCATGAACACCTACACCAAGAAGAAGCAGGGGTAACGCCGCGCCCATCGTACTCACGTAGCCTGCCTCAAGTACGACGGGCCCAGGTAGGGGGCGTAAGAGCTCTGGCTCCATTGGATCCCACTTGCACCGTTTCTGATCACCTTCTGTACGTCCTGTAATGCCCGTGTAATCCCCCCGTAAGGGCCGTAAGGGATCTCCAGGCATTTATCTGCCTGGATCCATCGTCCCGCACCTTGCTACATACTTCGTAGCAGGGTACACTACATCTACTATTTCCACGGTACGTGCGGTCTACATGGCCCCGAGCATCAACAGGTGGATTCAACCGCTGCACTTCTGTACCATCCCTTCCAAAATGGACAACAGACGGCTGTGATGATCCTCCTTTATATTTCATCAAGGTCATACCACCCCCTCTTGATCTTCTTGCGCTCTTCCTGCACGAGCACCAAAACCCGACCCCGATTTCGGCCAGAAAAACAACAGAATCCGGCGCTCCGATCTTCGCCTCAGCGCTGGAGGACGGAAGCCCCGCGGACAAGAAATATTTATCGTCTGCCCCCACCCCCCGCCTAAAATAAGCGTGTTTCACGCTAACATATACCACTACATTAGCACCCCCACAGCCGTTCACCGCATCATCATGCGGCGTGGTTGCCGGTAGACGTCATCTCCACCCCCCCCCGGCCACCGCTCCCGCCGTCCACCCCGCTCCCGCCGTCCCCGAGCAGCGACCTCTTCGCCTCCTCATCATCCCGGTTGGCACTCCTCCCTCTCTCGCGCAACCACCGACCGCCATTACCGCTACCACCGCCGCTGCTGCTGCCCCCGGCGGCGGCCGCTTTCGTCCCGCCGATCGCGGAGGGCGCCGAAAGCTGGCTCCCTCCGTCCGGGTGCTTCCCGATCTTGCGGAGGAGGTTACCGTACGTGGCCTCCCAGGACATGCTCTCGGCGTCGAACGGCGGCTTGCCGAAGGACGTTATCGCGATGGCTAGCCGCACAGTGCCGTGGAAAGCGTCTCTGGTAAGGACCATGACCGAGGCCAGGAAGAGGACCATGACCCCGAGGGCCTTGCTCCCCATGCCCCAGATGTCCTTCGTGTCGCCGGCGGCGGGCGGAGGGGAGTCCACGGCGCCGATGGTCCCCGTCCGCTCGAAATGGGTCACGAGGTTCACGGCCACCTTGCGCGCGGGAAGCAAAGGGGGATGGGGAGGAGGGGGTGTACTCATAGTCGTGCATGCCGTAGTCGTTAGACCATTGACCTCGCATCCCTACAAAGCCGGGACGGAG